TACAATTTCCTCTGAAAAGAAACCTAAAGTCTGGCTGGACAACCCCTACACATCAGGCGAAGGAGGAAAAGAAACACATGGAGGTGGGTAGGAGCGGCTGGGGCAAAATCTCGCCATAAACTCCACTCCTTGTGTGGTGACCCAGTCAGGAGGGAACTCAAAACCTGGAGCTTCCCGAGGAGTGAAGGGTTGGTACCCCATATCCACACCCCAACTTTTGAGACCTGCGCCTGAGAGACAAGCCCCCTGTAACCTCTAAAATATTTGAAAACCAACCAGGGCTCCCGTCCTTGAGACCTACAAGGCTACAGCAAAACTGAGAAACGGTTCTTAAACGATGCTGACACTCACCCGCCGACGGTGCCCAGACGTTAAGTGAAAAAGGCTCATTTTAAAGCATCAGCCTGAGGGGCAGGCATCTAATTGAACACACACATCTAGGAACCTGCTGGAACACTCTCTGGGGACAGTGACTGGCAGGTCCTTACACGCTCCCTCCGCCTTTTTCTAGCCGTGGTGTGGGCACCATCTTTTTCTTTTTAAACTCTAGGTCTTTCTTTTTGTCCTTCCTGGTGGGCACCATCCTTGTGTCCTCCCTCTGTCACACTCCAGAGAGCCAGTGTCTCCCAGCAGGGAGCTTTGACAGTCGTCTAGTGCCTCGGTTTGTGTGGATGAGGCCCAGGGGACAGTCCTTGACTGCCTGGCTCTGGAGGCCAGGGGAGCTTGTTCCTGCGCCCACAGGAAGGTAGCAATCTGATGGCACTTGGCAGGTTACCACTCCAAGGGCACTGCCCAGACAGCAGACCGAAACACACTCCAGTCTTTCTGAGAAAGAAGCCTATTTGCTTGTCCAGGAACTTTGGCTTGGGGCAGGCTTCTGGTCTGGCCCACTCCTAGGGGCCTGCGGAGTGGCTCTCAGGGATGGAGGCTGGTGGATGCAATCCTTCCCCTCTCCCTCTGCCCCAGCTTGCAGGTATCGCCCAGAACGGAGCTTAGTACCCCTCCTTGTCTGGTGCCCTGATTTTTGCGGTTGCCTCCAGGGGACACCTCTACGTGGCCTGGCTCTGGTTGCCAGTGGGGCTTACAGGACTGTAACCAACGGAGAGAGAGTTCTTAAAGAGCTACCACCCCCAGGGCACAGCAAGAGGCAACAGACCCAGGATCTCAGTCTTTCTGTGCAAGTGGCCTAAGTGCTTATCATCATAGCTGCAACCTGAGGGGCAGGCTTCCAATTAAAGACTAAAAGTTCCCTGAAGTCGTGAAGTTTGGAGTTATAAAGGGAGACAGACATTAACTTAATATTCATCCAAATATTTATTTAGTGTTAAAAGTGGTTAGTGCTATACACATATACTTCACCACCTTGAGTTCTGAGAGTCTTTCTGTTACCACATAAAGGGCATGATCTGCTGGCCGCGAGACAAAAGCCAATTGTCAAGAGGCAAGAGGGTGGAAAAGAAAGGGCAGTTTATTACAGCTTGCTAGCAAAGGGGAAGATGGCCTACTAATGTCTCATAGAACCATCTTAAGGGGGCATAAAATCTTACAGCGGTTATATAGGCCATTGAATTATTGGGGAGGGGGTTAGGAATGTTGACCTTCTGGTGTTACAGACTGGGAGTGCCACACCAGATCTTTCAGTTTTCACTGATGATGGCTATCAGCATAGACTCTCTGTTCAGGGGTCATCATATTCCTAAGGAACTCAAAAGAACAAAGTTATCATCTCATCACAGCTGGGAGGTGCATGCACAAGCAGGGGTCGTAAAATCTACAGAGCAGTTAGATCTCCTGAAGTGTGCATCCAGCTGGGTTAGTTTGTCAGAGGTCATTCAAAGTAACAACAGGGCTTCTTCTCTACAATATGGCTCCCCTCATGTCAACCTTGTGTTGAGCCGGTATCATTTATATCTTTTGGATACAAGTCTTTTATCAGATATACGATTTGTAAATATTTTCTCCCAGTCTGTGGTGTCAAGAACTGTGAAGGGTCTGATATTTTATCCTGCTGGTAAACTAACAAGTGAGCCTACCAGGGTTTCATGGATACTGGCAGAAGACATGAGGCTCCTGCGTTAGACAAAAAGGACTTTGGAGCTTCACATTCGCGTCTGTTTCAACTGCTCTCTCTACTCCCCCAAGATCCATGAGGGACACGGAAAGGCCCAGGTAGCCACTGCACTCATAGTGGGTTTGTGTCATAGCTGAGAAATCCAAAGCTTAGGAAACCCCAGTCATTTAAAGAGGGCTGCTAGCAAAACTACCCAACCTTTGCCCTGGAAAAGACATAAAATTTTATTATACTGGTCAGGAAACAAATGTGCCCTTTGCCCCAGAGGGAGCCTTTATCTCTATCTTCAAGACTTTTTGCTACATATATATCTTTGAAAAAATAGTCTAGAACAAAAGTAGTTAATGCATTTGCAGAGAACACATGCAGAAAAATGAGAGAACCAAGGAAAATTGCCTCCAAATATATGACTTGCCTTTTCATTCTCTTAGCAGCATCTTTTGAAGAGAAGAAAATTTATTTTTGATGAAGTCCAATTTATCAATTTGATTTTTTATGGATCATGCTCAGAGTCATATCTAAGATAGCTCTGCCTGACCCAAGATCTCAAAGATTTTTCCTATATTTTCTTCTAAAAGTTTTATAGTTTTAGGTTTTGTTTTTGAGTTCATTTTTGTATATGGTGTAAGGATCAAAATTCGTTTTTTTTTCCACATATGGATATCTAATTGTTCCAGCACCATTTTTTTGAAAGACCATCCATTTTCCACTGAATTTCATTTGCATATTTGTCAAAAATCAGTGGTCCATAATGTGTGGGTCCATTTCTGCACTTTTTATTCTCTTCCATTGATCTATTTGATAGATTCTGTTGATCTGTCTTGATGCCAATACCACACTATCTTGATTACTGTAGCTTTATAAGAGCCTTGAATTCAGGTATTGGTCATTCTCCAACTTGGTTCTTTTTCAAAGTTGTTTTAGCTATCGTAGATCCTTTGCATTTCCATATGAATTAAGTCAAGTTGTCATTTTCTATTAAAAGCTTGCTGGGATTCTGATTGGGATTGTGTGGATCTAGATCAAGTTGGGGAGAAGTAATGTCTTAACAATATTGAGTCTTACGCCCCATGAGCACAGTATATATCTCTCCATTTATTTAAGCCTTTAATTTCCTCTAGCTATGTTTTGTAGTTTTCAATGTATGTCTTGCACATCTTTTATCAGATTTATCACTATTGCATAGTTAGTGTTTCTATTTTATTTCTTTCCCTTTTTGCTCTCAAGCTTTTTGAGCCCTTTAACCTGTATAGTATAGAAATGTCTTAGGTTTTTAAAATCCTTTTTGACAATCTTTTCCTTTTAATTGCAGTACATAGAGCACTTGTATTTACTTTGATTACTAATATATTGGTGTTCAGACAACTCAGACACAACTTCCCATGCACAGGATACTTTCCCATCTCAAGGCTAGCAATGAGGTGATGCAAAACAGGGCTCATTGGCACAGGGAAGCCAGCTCCTATGTCTAGGGTACCTCAGCCTAAATGCTCTGCTTGCCACCCAGCTCCTGCAAGGGTAAACAGATCCCTCTTCCTGGGCCAGTTGCTGCAGAGAGAAGCAGACCAGAGTCAGACAAGAGAGCCCTCCTGCTCTCTTCCCCTGATTTCAAAGTACATTATCCTAAACAATATAGCTGTCACACTACTAATTATGGTGTTTCACACACAAAAAATCTGTGCCTCAGCCAAAGGACAAATGACAAATTTCTACATGCATTAGTTTTAGACCACAATGAAAAAAAAGTTGGTAGATTGAATTGATTCAGTTAATGAAAACCAGTTACATTTCTCGGGCTGAGTTCATCTTGAAATGTCCAAGTTCCAAAAGACAAGGAGATAATATTAAGAACCCATGGAAGGAAGAATACTGTAACCAAGAAGTAAATGCACCAGTTACAGGATATATTTGAAAGGTCTCAGATTTCCAAGAGATACCAAGTACAAAATTAAGGTTAGAAACTGGAAACGCTATATTTTGTACAAAAAGTTCCAAATACCTCACAAGTGGCGATGGCTACAACACAAAAACGCCCAAATTGGTCAGATTCATTTTCTTTCTAACCTAGTGTTGTCTCTAATATTGGCTATAATTCTGTCCACCTTCCTCCCTTTATTATATAATTTGTTACATTTCTGTGTTATTGGATTAAATGTCCATATAAGTTAGAATGAATTTGGTGTTTCTGTGGGCTTAGATGTCCACAGTTTTGTTTTATAAGTAACTTTGTATTATGATGTGAAAGCATCTGCTGGAGATTCCCAAAAGGTATTTTCTGTTTTGCATTTCTATCTTTTAAGAAACCCCAAATGAACTGGCTATTTCATATTCTAGGAGGAGGCCCTATAAATACCATGATTTGAAGAAAAAAAAAATCTGCAAGGTAAAAAAATGTTTTAAACTTGATTGTGGTGGTAGTTACATGACTGTATTTGTCAAAACTCACAAAATGTATGGTAAAAAGGGTGAATTTTCCTGTATGTAATTATATAATTAAAAGAAGAAAAAAAGATTGGGGTAGGATATTTTCTTAAATGTATCAAAAGAAATCTTAATAAGCTGTTTCAATCTAAGCAAGAAACTTGGGTGCCAAATATCCATGTGAAGTGACATAAAACAAACACATTATGAACATCCAAAAATCTGGATTTACAATGGAAATGTTGACAGCTTCTGAAATTAAACAGCACTCAATCACTAATTCTCTTTGAGGGTAAGATTTGTACCTGCTGGGCTTATAATTCTGTTTTCTCTTTTTGTGCTGTTCATGTGTAAATATTGCCAACGTCATTCGACAGAAAAAAGGAAAACAACTTAATTTTGTTCCTAAGCTAGTGAGTGACACAGAGGCTGCCCTCCAGATGAGGCAGCATAAGATAAGCTTCCTGGCAATGATTTGAGGGGGGAAAAAATCAAGACATTTCAAATGTATTTGTAACAAGGAAACAAATTTATTGATTTTAAAAGACAAGACACCATTTTGTTTTGAAAAACACAAGAAAGCTAGCCTGAGTTCAAGTCTGAAATATTCAGAAAAATCCTACTAATATCTTTAGTATGTTCCAGTCATTTGTTTAAACAACACACTAAAAGTTAATATATATTTTTATAATTATAAAAGTTCCCCAGTTATTGTACAGTACACAATACAAATCGCCCACAAACTATTATTTAGCTCCTGCCAATTTTGAGAGGACATGATATACTAAAAGATTTAGCATTTCTCACAAAAATCACATCAGGAAATACGTATTTACAAAATCAAATACATCGTACAAAAAACCATCACATGTTATTCGGTAAAGATGTTTTTAAATAATTAAAAAGTTTATTCAACTGTAGTCCAAAAACTGGAAAAGAACATTACATTATCTCACACATACAATCTCTACAAAAGTTGCTTACCTCATTTACATAATATATTCAGTCGATTGTAAAATAAATGTTCAAATATCTCCTAGTGTTACTATGTTTCTGTGCTTGTGGGACTGAATAATGTAATCTGCCACTTACTAAGTGAAATTTAAATGATGGCACTTAAAAAAAAATACAGTATTTTAAAAAAACACAATGAAAGAAGTTTTACCTAGAAGGTACGAAAGCCCTGAGTGATAGTGGAATTACTGATTGGTAAGCACTACAATTAACCTAATTAAAAGTTTACCACCCCAGGCACAAATTTCCAAGTGTTCTCAAGGCACTCGCTTAAAGTTTCTGTAACCAACGCACTGGTCACCACCATAGGTCCCAATTGATGATGGAGATGAGTAGAGAAAAAAATTTGCTTTGGTACAAAAGATGCTTTTTAAATGAAGAAAATTCAATACCTCTTTTATTGGGTTCATTTAAAATTGTGTTTAGCAGGTTAAAACAAGGCAATCATTTGTTCAAACCTATTAATTCATTGAAGGAAAAATTTACTTGGTTATCAACAGTCAATGGGAGTTTTTCTTTTTTTCTATTCTCCCCAGAATCATAATTCTTCTAACAAAGATTTGTTGTCCTCATTATTGAGCTACATAAACAATTCTTACCAAAGATTTCATTACTCAGGGCTTCCAATCCCAACATCATAATTTATTTAAAAGACAAAGGAAAGAGGGAAAAAGAAAGAATCAAATACCAGAACCAAATGGAAGAAGAGACAAAACACATTTCTGAAAATAAGACATATTACCAATTACTTCAAACAAAAGAAAAAAAAATCCTAGGCAGTCACTTTGTAAGTGGCTTTTACTATTTAAGTAAAATTGGTAAACTAAACTCAGGTCTACTGGCACATAAAATCACTAGCAGCAATGATCAAGGCATGCAAACTGAGAAGCATTTACAGTAAATCATCATGAAGAATTCAAAAGAAGAGAGTTAACTTAAAACCCTTTGAGTATTGCATGTTAACACATGAGTAATTTGCATGGTTTGACTTCCGAAACTGCCTAAAAAGCAACGTTGACGGCAAACTCGCACTATGCTATGGGTGTCCTTTCACCAGACGTCGGGATAGGTTACACTCTCACATGCGCAGGGCCAGGGCAGCACAAGCACATCTGCAGATGACACTGCTCTCGGGTTCCATCACACAGGGGACAGAGGGGTCAAGTGCTCGCAGAGCGTCCCTTGAGCAGAGTCAGCAACTGTGTCAGCAGCCTGGCATTTACAGGTATCAGAAGCAGTAGTCACAGCATCTCCTGACAGATGAGCTTAAAATCAAGTGCTTTGCTCTCCATTCTATCTATATAGAATTTTTTTGACAAAGTATTAAAGTTTTGGAGCATAGATAAAATTATGCCCTGTATGAAATTCCCAAACAATATTTGATGAGACATCTAACTCCAGATAGCTTACCTGCCCTCAAAGAGTTCAGCTTTTCTTTATCCACTGGAACTCGTTTCTTCCTAAGGCTTCACTTACAACTGTACTTTCTAAAGCTAAATAAACGAGATCTTTTGCTTTGTTTTGGGGAAAAAAAAGAGAAAGAAATGTAACCCTTTCTTTATCATACCTTTTAAAGGCAATCTAGGTACTTTCAATGTGCAGAGATCAGGTATGACATAGGTCTACAGGCCCATGTGTTTGTCTTCCTTTTCTAGAGTCAGGATGTGATGCTAGAAAAGTTGATTTTTTTTTCTGTAAACAGTACACTTACTTAGATGGCAGTGAATATTTGGGAATAAATATATCAAGCCCTCTTGAAGAAAATTAAGAGTTGTATATAAAATGCAAGTGTCCAGCGTGGAAACACTTTCTCTTCTTACCCCCCCTTTAAAAAAACAGCATAATTAGACATTTGGATATAGAGTATATTTTACCGGTCTAAGTCTAAATAAATGATCTGAAAGGCTTTTGTCCCCCACTGTATATCTTACAATGCTCAAAGGGTTAATACAAGGCATTACATCAAAGGGGTTTTCTAATACTAGAACTAAGCACTGAATTAATGCTTCTATTCCAGTTTTTTAAAAAATCACCAAACTTGCAGAAATACTAGGATTCCATTAATTGATATGTTCTAACCATACATACGGAGGTTGATCTGATCTGGTGACAAGCCCGATTTTCAATAGCACTGCATGTCAACCCCTCTCCCCCATGTTCTGATGTGATTCATACAAATCACAAGTTCTGATTTCAATTATTTGATGGTTGTTAGTTTCTCACCAAGGAATTGGGGGAGGGGAGGTGATAACAGATAACAATCTGTTGTATATAACCACTGCCTCAAGTTGTACCCAAAGGTGACTTGGCGAAGGTTTTTACTTCCTACTCATGTCCACACAGAGAGGATCAGCATCACAGTGACACACAATTTTTCCTTTTACACTAATGTTTCAAGCACAGCATTATTTTAGACATTTCAAATATATCATCTGAAGAACTTTTTAAAATTTCAAAATGCATCACGTTTAGCACTTCTAGAGAGTGCATTCATGTAAAAAGGTTCATGATTACAGTAATGAAACCGTATTCATTCCTGAACGACTGTGACAGCATTCTACGAGAACGTGTTCATTTTTACTCGTCTACTACAAATCAAAGGCAGTCAATGTTGCAAACGACTAATTTTAGGTATGCAGTGTTAAAACCATTTTCTAAAATTTACTTTTGTTTTTAAAGTACACCATCTAAAGAGAGGTGCATGAACCGTGCTATACAGTACAAGAAAAAGCACAAAAAGGAAAGCAGATTTCTGAAAAGGCAGTAAGACTTATACAGTCAGTCCAAACACAGTTTGGATGAGAATCCTGAAAAAAGTGAGCAGCCACTTGATATCCAAAGAAAAATTTTAAAATTGGGCCCTGCATTCCAAAGAGATGGTTCACCCATTTCACTCTATTGTTCACTGGCTTCATGAAGGCAAATCTTTTGGGTATGATTCTCAAAGTATAAGTGAAGATCAAACTCTACCCACAACAATCAATCTTACTATATGGAAGTATCTTTCTGAAACTTAAAAATAGCCAACATACCTTCCTTACATTTTTCCTCACTGAAAGTGTAGCATTTGGTCTACGTAGATATTTTTCATGACTACTGTTTGATTATAATGCCAAGAAATATTAAGAAGTCCTTAAAATGTGTGCTTGTCACTTGTCAATGAACTTACTCTGAGAGTATTGGTGTCTAATATCATCTAGAAAAGTCACAGCTTCAATGAACAAAAAAATGGAAATGTTCAATAAATGCAATAAATGTGATTGCTCCAATTTGCTCAGATGTATAAATTATGATGTTTTTATTTTCTAATACAGTTCACAATTCAAATTCAAAATTGGTTAAGATATTTATGTGTGATTGTATATGTGTGTCTTACTGTAGAGTACAAATAACTGCAAGTAGCATAGACTATAGAGGTTATTTTGTCTACTGGTCAGAACTATCCACCCTAGTCACAAAGAACTAACGTTCCTAACCGTCTTCATAAAGGAGATCAGAATATTTTGAGGGAGCCAGTTGAAATGTAACAATATTTAACTCCTAATCTGTCCTAATTTAGAACAAACCATGAACAACTGGAAGAAATGTTGAACCCTGGAGGGTCCCCCAATCCCTAACTTTCATCAGTCTAAATTTGCCCATTATTCAGATTCCTCTAATGATACAAATATATCCAACATTAAACAGTGATAATAAATACATTTACAATCGTTCAATAAACAAGATGAAACCAGCAAATACATTTGGTCCAGTACAGATATAGTATCGTTCTAGGGGTGGTGGATAGGGATAGGCAAGTGAAAAAAATTCAGAATGGAGAGTCAAAATGAAGAGTGTTCTTCTCACTTTTTGATTTTAATTTTACCTGTAAATGTGTCCTAATGCACAACGAACTAGACACATGGTCTTTGCAGCTTAAGGTGTTTTGTTTGCCTTTTTTTGTGTGTGATGGTGCAAATTCATTGCCTTTTGGGAGAAAATATCATTTAAATGATATTGAGATGAAGGTTATGCTAGGATGCTAGTGACGACTTTCAAATATATGAGTGGACTGTATAATACAAAATTTGAATCAATTTTAAAAATTACATCTAAAACATTCAAAGTTTAAGAAACTCTGTTGATCTTAGTTATTTGAGTAGTCTAAGGCAATCGAGCAACAGCAGTTGAAATATCCTGCACGTTACCCGATAAGCCATTTGGTATTTTTAACTTTACAGATTGGCTCACTCTCTTCTTTCTACCCCGACCCCCCACCCCAATAAAACTGGAAAGATAAACATCTTGAGTTTAAGATAGGCCTCATTAATAATCTGTAAATCATTTTGTGCTTTCCCTTTTTTTTGGCTTTATGTATTTATTTTTGCTGATTAGCTTTTTTTACAACTATTTAAATGAATGGATGTGCCTGGTTTTTTGTTAATAATTTGAGTGCTTAAAAGAACCTTGGCTTTTCATGTAAATTAAAACGGGGATAGGTGTATCCTCTCTGGGATCTCACCGTCTGACTTTGTAGCTGATTCCTGCCCACGGGCACTCGTGTGTGCATGTGGACACACAGACACCGAGACACACAGACAAACATTTAGACTGAAAAGATGCACTTCAATAAGTACCTGCTTATTTTGTTAACTTTCTTAAATTATAACTAGATAAGAATGGTCTAAAACATACATGATTTTATGTAACAAGTTGGTAATTAAAACTAGCCTGCTATTCCACACCCTTAAGCAATCTGATTTGTATATTCAGCTCGAAGCACAAAAAATAGGTTTGCGGTCACTCAAAGAGGGGAATTGATTTTTGTTTTTTCGTTTCGCTTTGTTTGCCCTAAATTTCCTTCGAAGAACATGTAACCTGTCCTTACTTCGGGAATCTGAAAATGACAGGCACAGTTTGTCACATGGATTGAAGAGGAATTCACATGAACAAAATAAGCCTTACTAAACCTTAGCTTCAGTTCTGTTTTAAGGCACCATGTAATAGCCGAGGTACGATGATCCCTGATGTACATTCTTCAATGGCACGGGTCCATCCAGCCACCTATCCAAATCCTACAGAATCGGGGATAAGCAACACTGTGGTGTGCCAGTTACACTGCCTTCAGGTTCTGTTTAAAATTTAAATCCACATACTTTAGAAACCAGGAAATATTTTTGAAGGAAATAACGATATGCAGGTTGCTACATTCCTTGCATTCTATAAATTTTCTTTTATAATAGCAGCATATTGAACTACTATTAGGAAAAAGACCTGGAATAAAAGAAAGTCATCCAAATGGAATGGTTTCCTGTATGTCCAGCTCAGCATAAGTAGCATGTACACTTAAAAAAAAAAAGTCAAGTCATTTTTTCAGCTTCAGTATCTAACTATAACAGCCCCACTCAACAGCAGAATGCATCTGTGCAGTGGTCCCAAATACAGAATCAGTAGTCTTTAAACAGAGGAATTGGTATGCAAATAACAATTAAAATTCAATGTTTAACGGAAGCTTGCATTAACATGATTTAATAATTATGTACACAAATTATGTACATATTAGCATAATCTCTTGCAATTCTGTCATTTACTCTGAACCGATAGATGCACAGCTAAATTTTTTTCAGAGAAAAATAGATGACCTTCCCAACCCTCTAGTGCTATAATAAAAATGCTCTGTATTCTCTCTCCATACTCCAAAATGGTATCAAAATAGTGTCTTGTGGTTCTGCCCAATGAAAAGCACCTTTCAAAAGCAAATTGGATGCATCTGCTGCCAAATGGGCATGCCTCCAGTGTAAATCAAAGAAATTCATTTCTTTTGATATTTCACAGAAGTGCATCTAATTAAAAACTTACACATGAAATCATACACCAAGACTAACAATCAACAATAAAATATTTTAAGCTACAAAAAAAGTAAATTACTTTTTAATTATAAGAAAACAAAAACATTGACATTAAGTGTTGTAAAAATCCTTCTTGACACCTGAAAACTAAGGAAAAAAAAACCAACTCATTATTAAGAGGCAAATAATTTGTTTACGTTAAAAAAAAAAAAAAAAGACCTGGGAAAATACATACACCCATTCCATTTCACAACTCCAAAAAGGTAATGTTCAGCACAGATAGAATTTGACAACAGTCGACCTTCAGGCTTATTAAATTTTCAACTTAAGCCCAATATCAACAGGGTTAATGTTAGCTGGAAAAATATGCTTTAATATTCTTTAGACTGCAGTGTAGGTGTTTCCTGTGGTGCTGCACTGCCTGATAGTCTGAGTACTCGTGACGATGTGCTCACTGTGGATTGGATTCAGGAGGCTTGGCTGCACGCTGCTCTCGAGAACAGGCTGCATACAGCCCACTGGAAACGCCTGGTTCAGCTCGGTTTTCTCTCTTTTGGCTTGAGGTTCTGAAGAGTCATCTAGTTCTTCATCCATTTCACTTTCCACTTCACTGCCTTCATCTGCACCAACAGATAACACCAAGACTATTACCACAAGACAAACTGGAAAATAGCAATCAACACGTGCTTTAGAGACAATAATACCGTACATTAAGAAAGCAACTGCTTAGCTCTTGTCGGGGGACAAAGCGTGTAGGTTTTCCTTTCAACAGATTTTACTCGTGTCAGTGTTCTATTAATGTATCTATAATTCTTCCAAACATAGCAAAGGTAGTTTTACTTTGGCTAGTTTGTGATTGACATCTTTAACAGTTCTTTTAAGAAGACCTTTGGAATTTCCTAACGCTTTAATGTTAAATAGTGGCATAATTTGTGTCATCATAAAGTAGTCACTTTGATACACTGTGCTGGCTTTTGGGGAATGTATTGAGCTGAAAAATGCTAACTAAAAAAAAAAGAAAGAAAAAATTTTCAGTCTCCTCCAAAAATCTACACTAGATATAAATTTCATCTGTGCTGATGTTAACGTAGGTGAGACCCATGTTGAGTCACAAAATAACTATAGCATGTATAAGCAGGGGCTGCTATACAGACTTTCTGGTACACAGGAATGTTGCAGATCACAATATTAAATAGGCCTTTTTTTTTTGGTGAGTAATATCGGCCCTAAACTAACATCCCTCGCCAATCTTCTTCTTTTTGCTGAGGAAGATTAGCCCTGAGCTAACGTCCGTGCCCATCTTCCTCTATTTTGTATACGGGACCCCGCCACAGTATGGCTTGACTAGCGGTGTGTAGGTTTGCGGTTCGTGCCCAGGATTGGAAACTGCAAACCCTGGGCTGCCAAGCGGAGTGTGCAAACTCAACCACTATGCCACCGGCCCAGCCCCAATAGGCCTTTAATTTTTATTACAAAAAAATTACGAAGACCGAGGCAGTAGTATTAGATGAAAAATGTGCAATGCATTTCTATTCCTGGCAACACTGATACTCACTGTTAATAGTTGGTATTCATTTCTGGTAATTAAATGTATTAAATAGTCACTTTAACCTCCAAATTTTAATATATTTTATATTAACTAAGACTTCATTATAATGGAATACAATTTAATTTTTTCCAGCATGCATTGTTAAAATTCAAAAGTACGGTAGAGAGAGAAAATGCTCTCACACAGCTTTACTACTATGTAAGATTCTCCTCAGAAGAGTGTAGAGAATACTTCTTCACAAGTGATAATTTTTAAAAAGTAGGGAATATATTTCTGCCTTAAAAATCTTTTTAATTCACCTTCAAGATGTTTTATTTTTTACCCCAAAAAAGATAAACATATAATTACATCAAATACCTCATCTATAACTAAAATATATCTAGCTTATTGTTAGATTTTTGACTTATGATAGTGACTTATATAAACAGAATCAGATCTCCAATATATTCTGCTCTATGGCATATCATGTACAAGGAGTGTGTAACAAGCATTCCTTCAGTCAGATTAAGTTGCACTCTTTCCACGGACTGTTGAGTCCAGTTTTACCATTTGGGGCACACGTACAGCAGAAGTCCCTGCTAATGCAGCTCTTTATATAAATGGGCCCCTTGACTTTTCTTCTCTTATTATCAACTGGGGAAAAGATGGTTCCAGAGAAAAGTGATGAGGAGTAACAGGGACATACAGTTGTGCAGTGAGCAGCTGCCAGGAGCAACATCTCCTGAGAAATGGTACGTGTGATTAAATAGGCTGAGATTAGACGTATTGACTTGAAATGATGTCTGTAACGTATTATTATTTTTTCTTTTTTGTGAGGGGGATTGGCCCTGAGCTAACATCTGCCAATCTTGCTCTTTTTTTTCGCTGAGGAAGACTGGCCCTGGGCTAACATCCATGCCCATCTTCCTCCACTTTATATGGGATGCCGCCACAGCATGGCTTGACAAGCGGTGCATTGGTGCACGGCCGGGATCCGAACCGGCAAACCCCGGGCCGCCGCAGCGGAGTGCGCGCACTTAACTGCTTCCACCACCAGGCTGGCCCCTGTAACATATTATTAAGCGACAAACACGGAGTGCTCTTAGATGAGGCAAAAGTTGTCTTGGCTCATCTACCTTATCCGGTTACCTTTTTGCCTCTGGAAAACGGTCTTGACAATAACATGACAGCTTGTCAGAACAAGCACATTCAAAAGGCTGGTGGGCTGCAGGGAGAGGGATGTATATCGTAGACATCTGCTTCATCAAGAGGGAATGATCAAAAAAATGTATGGAAGGATCTCACACTAAATTCTTAATGGTGGTAGTCTCTTAGGGTTGTGACTATGAAGTTTCACTTTCTATAGTTTATAATTCTCTGTATTATTTGAAATTTTTATACAGAGCTAATATTACTTTTATTATCAAGAAAAAAATTAAAATTCTCATTTCGTGGAAAAACCCCACAAAAACTCTTGCAGATTTCACGCCTTACACCGTGAATATGCCAGTTTGGCTATATATCAAGAAGCATCAGGTCTGACGGTGAAGGGACCAGTAGGGCCACACCAAGAAGGTGAAGAAAAATCACACTGCTTCTTAGCTTCCTCTTCAACTTTTCTGTGCCTGAGAAATAGTGTCAAAATAAAAGGGTCAGCACGGAAAGAAAAAAAATCTTTTCAAGCAAGGAGGGAGTGGAGAGAGAGTGGAGAAAGTCCTGTCATCTACCCTGTTCTGGACGGAAACACAATGGGATAACGGGCTGAACAAACCTAAGTGCTCCAGGCCACTTTTCTTTAGGTCCGCTTGTGGGTGGCAGGCAGCCTCTGGATAGGCTACAGGGCAATCCACAAAAGCAAGCCCTTTCTCTAGTTCCTAAGGGCAAATTAATGCAATTCCATAGACATCTGATGCTCCTAGAAAGACTCAAAGACATTTCCTAGGGATTTACTTGAGGTTATGGAAATTTGGTACACAAAAACTAAAATCAGGCGCAAGTGAGTCTACCGAAGACTCAATTTTGGTTCAGCACTTTACAAAGAGGACTGGCTGCCACCCAGTGTTTGGCTAAGCAGCAACACTCCTACCGCACCTCTGGGCACCCAGGGATGAAAGCCCCAAATTTGGTTATGGGGCTCTGATGTCAGTGCACCATCAGGGCTGCCTTACATTGGACGTGGGTTTCAACTGCCACCTTTCTTGCTCTGAAATTACAAATTAGTATCATCACTGATTGACTTTTTGACTGTTATTTGGATGATCCTATAGGGTATATATTTGCAGCAACAATATTTGCAGGCTATCATTTTCTACTTTTCCTGCTTTGCCATTACGCCTATTACTAAAGCAGGAATTAACGCAGGCACAACTGGTGAACAGAGACTGATAGGAAGTTAACGTGGGAGTGACACTGATTCATGACTTTCCGCAGCACATTAACGATTTCCACCACCAAGGAGGCACAGAAGCTGACCACTGAGGACCCTGGGACAGGACACTCCAGAGAACAGCCCTGTACCACATGCACAGATTCCCCCAGTCCCTCCTCTTGCCTCAGTTTCCCCACTGGCTCTGGCTCTGTCCTGGAAGGGCTAACTGTAGTTCTCCCAAGTCTGCGCATTTTGTCCCTGAGTCTAGAACACAGTGCTTAAAATCTCAAGATATCTTCACTTTTTTGTTTTTTTTTTTGTTGAAGAAAGGCCTATATTTTCTGCAATGCTTGTTTATTAGAAATTTTACATTTTTTTTTTTTTAAAAGCAAGCTGGTATTTTATCAGGATTGTTTCTGTCTGTGTGTGCGCCATTCCAACCTCATTTCCTCTCAAGCCTTGTTCCTTTCACCGTGTGGTTTTGTAGATCATGAGTTTCTTCAGGAATATATGTCATGTTGTCATATTAAGTGGCAATGGTGATATTAAAATTTAAGAAATACATATGTTATCCTTTTCATCTATCCCACTACTGATCCTGCTTTTATAGTAAACTTCGTTGCTATCTCTGAGTTCTTTTTCCACTGAGAAGTGTGAACTGATGAGGTGGGTAGCCTGAGGAATCTTTTTTCTTGCTGGGTGGGCCCTGTATAAAAATATTTGGCCCAATTTTATCACTTTTCTCCAGGACTCTGGCAATGGTCAGAAATAATTTCTTGTTAGTTGTAATAAACTGCAGGCAACAAGTCAAGAAGAGTTTGTAACTGTATTTAAATTCAATTCTTGCATTTAATATACCTCACATACAGAAGGCATAGAAATGGAGAAATAATGAAGGATTCCAAAAGACATAACTGTCATATTTATCCAGGACTGTATGCCATTTCCACAAAATAAGACTGCTGTAGACATACACTCCACCACGTTTTCCTCTATGAGAATTGCTTAGTCAAAAATGTCCTTAAAAATGTACATTACTTTCAAGTCTTACCTTTATCCAGATTTCCAGGAGACACAGCATTTAAATCACCAAACTGCAAAACAATAGTCATTTGTGCAACAGTTACTACTGGGCAGAATAACATAATATTCTATCAGTCTTCGGTAAAAACACTACACTGTGACTTTTTAAAACTGTAAACTAGTGACCATTTTGATCTCTAACTACACAGGTCACATAATTTTCTAATCAAACTTGTCGAATTTGAACAGTTTAAATTGTGTCACAATTTAGCTGTCTTAGCCTCTTTGCAAAAGGGTAACAATTTTCTCTGCCTTCCACTCTCCATTTTACTTTTATTATTTCACCTTAGCAGTGAAGAAATAGGGGCCTGGCTGGCCTGAGGAAGATGGGGGCGGTGGAATAAATCTGGAAAAGCCCTGAGGAAGCAGGATGCACCAGCTCTGCCCCACGTGCCCTCCCTGAGTCCCCTGGAGTCTACATTAGAGACATGGGCCAGCCACTGGGTTGAAATCTATTTTTAAAGTTTTTATTAGTAGAAATGAAAAACATAATAGGATCCCCAAAGTTGAGTGTATTTATTTTTATGAAATCTTTGAGACTTTTCTTCTTGTAATTTGATGTTCTCATTTACTAAGATAATAGGGTCCCACTTTAAAAAAGAAAGGCATCCGATTGTTACTAATGCAACAAAAAAGGGCTTTAAACAATATGGATGAATTAATACCCTTCAGCTTAGACTCTATTTTCTACGTTGGTTCAAGAACTTGAGGGGCTGGCCCAGTGGCATAGCAGTTAAGTGCACACGCTCTGCTGCAGCGGCCCAGGGTTCGGATCCCGGGCGCGCACCGATGCACCACTTGTCAGGCCATGCAGTGGCAGCGTCCCATATAAAGTCGAGGAAGATGGGCACGGATGTTAGCCCAGGGCCGGTCTTCCTCAGCAAAAAGAGGAGGATTGGCAGCTGTTAGCTCAGGGCTGATATTCCTCACACATAAAAAAAGAACTTGATATTTTTACAGTGACAAAATACATTCTGAGAGTCTCAGGGTGAACAAAGATGGATACACTAAATAAAAAATTGAATAGCAGAGGTAATAAGCTAATTGGAAAAAAGTGAAGTGAAACCTCAAAGCATCCACTTTTTTTTTTCCAAGGAAGATTGGCCCAGTACTATCTGTTGCCAATCTTCCTCTTTTTCTTTTTTCTCACCAAAGCCCCAGTACATAGTTGCATATTCTAGTTGTAGAGTTGTAGCTCTTCTACGTGGGATGCTGCCTCAGCATGGCTTGATGAGCGGTGAGTAGGTCCGTGCCCAGGATCTGGACCGGCAAACCCTGGGCCAATGAAGCAGAACGTGCAAACTTAACCGATACACCACCGGGACGGCCCCAGCATCCACTTTTTAAATGGTAAACATTATCTTTTTTTTTTAAAACTGAAGATTCAGAACACATCATTATTAGAAATTCAGATTTCTCAAGAGGCTTAGGAAAGGGAGAGACAGAAAGTCTACTTACATTCGGAAGTTTGCTTATAAAGAGTTCCATGATAGGAGTATTTTTTTCATCTACAAGGTATGTCTATAAAGCAATAAAACTGATCTTATTTTGCAAACATACATACATTTTTCTTTTTTTTCCTGAATACGTATTGTTCTTCACAGTAGCTACCTTGGGAGCTTATACATTTACTCCTAGGTCCAAGGTTCTAGAATTCCTCTTTGACAATCAATTTCAAGAGTTAGTATGTATCATTGAAGAAAGGTTATCTTGTTATTTTACATCCAACTGTGATTCCACACAATACTCCAAATTTTATTCATTGCACTTGGTCCTGTGATAATTTCTGACTACTCACCAAAATCAAATTCATCTCTGCCACATTCAGGATATTCAAAATAATATGTCATTTTACTCTCTATTATTTCTTAGCAGTTCAGAGGCAGTTTAAAAAGAGGCATTCCACAACATTTTAAGCTACGGCAGCATTACTGCAACAAATGTGTAGCCTTCCTAGGTGACTGCTTTGAAGGGGACAAGGGCCTCCTGGATATGAAACACCCAGTATTTTTGTTTGGAACATTGTCCCATTACTTTATAGTTACATCCCCTTGGGCTTCAAATATAAAATCATAAATACTGAACTGTTGTTTCAAAGTTGTTCCTGATCACATGGGTCAGAATTTTTTAGTCTAAATAAAAATCAGTTTAAATTATGTAGAATTACTTGAATTAAAGAACATAAGCAACAAAAATCCAATGAGACTTTATCTATTTTTGGTATTATTTAAAGATTTTAGAAGTATAAACAGAGAATGCCCAAACTGAAGGATAATTTATATGTTATTTCTTTTCTTTTTTTTTTTTTTT